AAAAGGGAAATGCTAAAGACTGCTCAAACTTCTGCACAGTGGCCCTTTATCTCATGCCAGTAAGGTAATGCTCAAGATCCTGCAAGGAAGACTCCACCAATACATGGAGAGAGAGTTGCCAGATGTACAAGCTGGGTTTAGAAAATGCAGAGGAACAAGAGACCACATTGCTAATATCCGCTGGATAATGGAGAAAGGCAGGGAGTTTCAGAAAAACATCTATTTCTGTTTTATTGACTATTCTAAAGCCTTTGACTGTGTGGATCATAATAAATTGTGGCAAGTTCTTGGTGGGATGGGGATACCAAATGACCTTGTCTCTCTTGCCTCTGAAGACTGCCCGGAAGCTTCAATTAGTCCAATGGTTGGCAGCCAGATTGCTCACTATAGTGGCGTACAGGGAGCACACAACCCCTCTGTTACGCCTGCTCCACTGGCTGCCGATCAGCTTCCGAGCACAATTCAAAGTGCTAGTTTTAACCTTTAAAGCCCTAAATGGTTCAGGACCAGACTACCTGTCTGAATGTATCTCCTGTTACGAACCATCACAAAATTTAAGATCATCTGGAGAGGCCCTGCTCTCGATCCCACCACCATCGCAAACATAATTGGTGGGAACGAGGGACAGGGCCTTCTCTGCAGTGTCTGCCCATCTATGGGACTCCCTCCCCAGGGACATCAGATTGGCCACTTCCCTCCTGTCTTTCAGAAGGAAACTTAAGACCTGGCTTTAACCAAGCATTCAACCAGTAATAATAGCAAGTAAAAGAAGAATTAAGACAATGAATTGACCTGGATGGGACTTTAACAGGCGTGTTTTAATCAGTTGTTTAATTACTGTTTTTAATATTTTTAATGTATGGTTTGACTATTTTTATAATAATAATAATAATAATAATAATAATAATAATAATAAACCTTTATTTGTACCCCGCTACCATCTCAAGAAAGACTCGGTGTGGCTTACAAGAGGCCAAGCCCAAATACAATAGTAAAAACAACAGCAGCAACAAACAGCAAGATAACTCAGAAAACAAAGCAATAACATTGACAACACACAATAACACAATTAAAAACAATGGCAGGGCCAAATGTAATAATTAAAATTAAATGTGCTGGGCATGACCAGGTGGAGTGTTTTGGAGGTGGGTGGGCATGCAGATATCCTAGATCTCTGATAAAGTGCCTTGGGACATAGTGCTAGGAGTTTCCTATTCTGGGAAGGCACACTTATGTTGGCACCTTAAGGTGCTTTTGTGAGGCCACCCTGAGGCCCCCCTAGGGAGTGAGAAGGGCGGGGTAAAAATATAGGAAATAAAAATAAATAAATAAGATGAACTATGAGAGGCAGGTCCTTATTGGCCTATAAGCCTCCAGTTCTTCAACAACTGCTCACTTACAACAGGATATATAGCAAGGAGATAACACTGCTGGAGAAAGAGATAGACAGCAGCTGACAGGATTTTTAAATGGTTTGTTTCTTCAAGCACTGCCCCCTCGTGGACCCCTGGATCTGCCCCTCTCGGTCCTGGAAGTTGGATGCGCTGGTCGCTTTGAGCTCATCACCCAAGAGAAGGGGCCTCATGGAGAGGGCTTCCCACTCACCACGGTAAGACCTCTATGCAATGCTTCTATGATATTTAATCATGGAAAGACACAATCAGTTTCCTTCCATGTCCAGGAGTTGTCTGAATAAATTCCAGAATTCCTAAGACCCACCTAGAAAAAGAAAGCAATGCTACATTTAAAAAGAAAGCAATGCTACATTTAAAAATCTAAATTTTTAATTTTAGGTGGTTTATATAACAGTCAGATGTAATGTGCCTAATTGCCATTCTGTAGTCAGACATGGTTAGTTCTCCCGCCCTTTCAGAGTAATTTTCAAGATGAAAGCTTTTTAAAGGTTGGGTCCAGTGCGTGCTGTGTTTGATCTTTTTTTAGCAGGTTTCTAAATGGTCTTATTGGTTTAATTGGTTTAAATGGTTTTAATTATGTATTTTTAATAAGTCCCGTGTTTAATTCTATTTTAATATTTGTATACTCTGGTTTTTACTTGACATACAGTATTGTATGGTTTTTAGTGTTAGCCACTTTGAGGAAGTGGGATATAAATAAATACTACTACTATTATTACTACTATTACTATTACTACTACTAATAATAATAATAGTTCTTGCTGAAGACATAAAGCTGGACACAAATGAAGATATCCTTTTTACATACTTGACGACTGCGGCTAGAATAGCATGCTAGAAAATGGAAATTAAAAGAAATGACGACAGAAGAAGAATGGCTAAATAAAGTCTGGGACATAAAAGGCATGGATAAATTGACTTTCTGTCTGAAAGAATACACAGGAAGACCAGTGAGGAAAACTGATTGGAAATGGTTTGAAGATTACATGAAAAACTGGTCACCAAGTACTTATTAGAAGATAAAACAGGAGAAGAAGACATAGACTAATAACAACTAGAAACTTAAGCCGAAGGGACGAAGAAGAAACAAACTTGATAGACACAGAAGAATATGCAAAGAAGATTGGGAAGCCAAGATCCTCCCCCCCCCCACTTTTTAAATTTTTAATTTTTTTCTTTCTTCCTTCCTCTTATCCCCAACACCCCTTCCTAATAGAGACCTTTCCACCCCTTTTTCCTGTGCCCGAACCCAATGCTTTCCTTGTTATTTCCCTGTTATCTTCCCTTCTAAAATAGATCCCCCCTTTTTTCTTCTCTTTTACCATTTCCCCCTTTTTTGTTTAATTTTATGTATACTTATTTTAAAAAAAACATTTAATAAAAATTATTATTAAAAAAGTTCTTGATGATGTTAAACAATTTGGATTCAGAATCCTTGCTGGTCCAGAAGGGGCTCTTCTCCCATTTCTCTTTGTGGTTCATTAACAAAACACGTATGACTTTGAGAGGTAATAAACATTTTTTCCTTTTTGATTTTTAAACCATGGTTCACAGTTGCCCCATGGGTTGCCCCCTTACGCCGAGGATCTGACATCTGAGCTGGAGCAGAAATTTCTCCACAGCCCTGAATGGCTTCCCATCCACCACTTCGAAAGGTCTCACAGGTGAGCATTCACAGAGCCTTTTGTCAGGCTTCAGGATGTTAGGAATTGTGGGAGTTGAAGTCCAAAACACCTGGAGGGCCCAAGTTTGCCCATGCCTGATCTCCACTGCCCCCATAAGCAAAATAGGATACAATTCCCAATGATCTCTTACATTGTGGCAGGAGATGTGTTTTACTGAATGGATAATATAAACTAATTTTGACCTCTGCATGCTCTTTTTTGGGGGGAAGGTTCTGGCCGCGTGAGAAAGACACCCACTCGCTCTTTGAGGTGGACGTCACGCCTGTCCACTCCACACTTTGGGCCGACCGCAACCCTACCACAGGAGAGTTGCTCGGTTTCACAGAGGTAAGAAATGGTCCCTTTCTCTTCACTCAGGGCAGATGCTTTGAGTGGCAAATTGCGGGTAAATATACAATCCAGTGCCCTCTTTTTCTCCAGTTCTAGAAATACTAGATGGGAGAAGATCAAGTAGGCTAGAAAGGGAAGGGCTACAGTTGGAGGAGGTCTTTATCTGGTTATGCTGCCTCATTAATTATGGTCCTTATGAAAAGGCACCCAAGGCATCTGCCACCAGTAAAATTGGAAGATAAACAATTACGCCGCACAACAGCTTGAAATATAATTTTCAAAATGGAACAGTAAGTCCAAAAAAAAAAAAAAGAGCCCCTGATGGTACAGCAAGGTTAAACCGCTGAGCTGCTGAACTTCCTGAGGTTGGCGGTTTGAATCTGAGGAGCAGGGGGAGCTCCCGTTGTTAGCCCTAGCTTCTGCCAACCTCGTGGTTCGAAAACATGCAAATGTGGGTAGATCATAGGTACCGCTTCTGCAGGAAAGTAACAGTGTTCCATGCCGTCATGCTGGCCACATGACCTTGGAGGTGCCAATGGACAACGCCTACCCTTCGGCTTAGAAATGGAGATAAACACCACCTCCCTGAGTCGGACACGACTAGACTTAATGTCAAGGAGAAACCTTTACCTTTACTTTAGGTCAAAATCTTGCAATATCAACTCCATTTTAGAACTTATAAAAGTATAATTAAAGTAAATTTCTCAGTCAGCTTGCTGCTAGGGCAATCAGGAGTTGAACTCCAAAAGATAAACTTCTTTATGTTCTGTCATTCCTTATTTGATTCAGGTCTGGGAATATTTTACAAACTCCCTTTGACAATCTCTGCCCCCAGGCTTACAAACTAAGACTTGATGCCCAACTCTATGGTTCTAGGATTCTATGATTCTATGATTCTTCTTCTGAGGCTAGGGCAGTGGCAACTTTATTTGCTTCTGTGTCAAGGCATGCCTACCCAATCTCTCCAAGGCCAGGGCAATAGCAATTGGGATGTAGGTAGGGTTTTTCACCTGCTTTTGGAGGTAGGCACAATTGAACTGTCCCTGCCCTCTCTCTTATCCCAGTGCCAATGCAATGGCAGTTGTTATGGAGGGAGAACCTTTCATCTCCTTCTAGGACTAGGCATCATGGAGCTGTGCCTGCTTTTTCTTCTCTCCCTCTGAGGCCAGGGCAATGGCAGTTGGGATGGAGAGAGTGCCTTCCACTACTTTTGGGCATGAGCTTGATGAAGCTGTGCCTGTCTCTCTTTCTCTCTGTCTCAACCTTTCCAAGCTCTACCCAACTTAAATCAGTAACAAGGAATGGGAATTAAGTAGCTACCCTTATACTGTATTACTGTAGCTACATGAATGCTACAGATCTATTTTCATGCAGTGCAACTCCCATCGCCTGTGGCAGCTGACTCTCCTGGTTATAGCTAATGGGGATTGTAGTTCTCCAGCACCTGCAGGGCCACATATTTCCATACCTGGTGTGTGAGAATGTACAGCAAAAACTGGTTATATAATAATAAATAATAAAATAATAAAACTTTATTTATACCCCGCTAACATCTCCCCAAGGGACTCGGTGCGGCTTACATGAGGCCAAGCCCACAGTACATCAGTAAACAAAGGCAATAACAAAAACAATCAATACAAAACAATTAATATAAATCACATAAACAAAAAATAAACAATAACAATAACACACAAGCATTTAAAAAACCTATGGCGGGGCCAAATGTAATAATTTAAAATTTAAAAAATAATGCTGGGTATGAACAAGGTAGGATATAACTGGGATAGGGTTTTTCAAAGAGAGATGAGGGAACGGAGTCAGTCCTAAATTAATGCAAAAAGTGCATTTTGAGGGCATATTGCTGAGAGTTTTCCTTATTCTGGGAAGGCACACTGGAACAACCATATGACACTGAGTTTTAGCTATTTATTATTTTTTCTCATTTTCAATTCCAGGCACTTGTGGATAACATGGGCCTCTCAGCCAAGAATTCACTGTCTTTCCAGCGAGCCCCTGGTCCCCCGGCAGAGGCCCTGAGGGGCAGTGCCACCAATTATCCCTTCTGGCCAGGTATGGGGTGAGCATAGAGAGTGAATGCTATGCCATGGGTGCTGACCACAGGACCGATCTTGGGGAAAGATTAGCTGCAAACAGGAGTTGACGGGGTAGGGGGAGGATTTGGGGATTATACATTACAAGTTGCACCTTGTGCCATACTTTTTTTGCACCCGACTGACATCAGCATGGGAAATCCTAGATTGTGTCGAAGGATTTCATGGCCGGAATCACTGGGTTGCTGTAAGTTTTCCTGGCTGTATGACCATGTTCCAGAAGCATTCTCTCCTGGCCCAAGTTTGCCCATGCCTGATCTACACTGTAGAATAAATGCAGTTTGGAGCCATCTGAGCAGCCACAACTCCATGGTCAGCCCATGAGACCTTGATCTTACAAGGTCTTTAGCCCTCTTCCCAAACCAAGGTCTATGCATCTGACCTCACAACCTCTGAGGATGCCTGACATAGATGCGGGCAAAACGTCAGGAGAGAATGCTTCTGGAATATGGTCATACAGCCCGAAAAACTTACAGTAACACAAATCCTAGAATGTTTTTCTAATTCAGATGCAAATTTAAATCTCCTGGTTGTGGAACTCTCACAATGACTGAAGCCAACTTTTAGCCATCTGTGCTCACTTGTTTTCACCTCTGCTTACCAGGTGGGATGGATGAACCCAGCCTAGAGCAGATCCAGGCAAAGGAAGAGCTGGAAGAGGACATTGATTTTGAAAAAGGTACTTGAGTTCATTTGTCTTCCTTCTAAAAAACCTTAGTCATTTTGTCATGCTTGCATCCACTCTGGGACACACATTAGGCCTTGTTGTTTGTCATCCTTGTTGCAGATAAGGGTAAGAAAAATGAAGAATAAATGTGTTTGAGGGTGCATATCAAACCAAGTGCAGTCTCCTACTTCGCAGGTTATTTTTAAAATTAATCTATTAAGTTTCAACTAAAAATGAGATTAATAAGTTTTAGGTAAAAGTTTTAGATAAAATGAACAAAAATTCCATGCAGCCAAAAAGACTCTTGGTGTAAGATAAAGGTAAAGGTTCCCCCTGACATTAAGTCTAATGGTGGTCATCTCATTTCTAAGTTGAAGAGCTGGCGTTGTCTGTAGACACCTCCAAGGTCATGTGGTCAGCGTGACTGCATGGAGCGCCATTATCTTCCCTCCGAAGCGGTACCTATTGATCTAATCACATTCACATGTTTTTGAACTGCTAGGTTAGTAGAAGCTGGGCCTAACACCGGGAGCTCCCCTTGCTCCCCGGATTCAAACCGCTGACCTATTGGTCAGCAAGTTTAGCAGCTCAGCGGTTTAACCCGCTGCACCACCAGGGACCTCTCTTGAAGTAGCTTATCCAAAATCAGTGACAAGGGCAAAGAAGTCCCATCCTACAGACTTTAATCTAAAAGTAATTGTACACTTGAATATCGATCCAATAGCTTGGAAGAGAGCAGGATTTGGAAAGAGTGACTTCCCTTTTGTGCTAGAAAGCCCAGAATTTCCTAGTCCACATGCCCATGATTAAGGAATCTAGTCCCATATACATACTTGAAGGAGCACAGTAACAATCTGTGCAGAACAAGCTTGTAGTCGCTTCAGGATAGCAGATTTTTATTTTTAACCTGCCCTCTCTCCCTAGAGGGACGCAGGACATCTTACAAAAAAACCCACAAAAAACCAAAAAGTGACAAACATTCAATGCTGTATACTATCAATAATGAAACATTAAACATACTATTAAAACACATTGGACGGCTTTGGCTAAAAAGGTATAAATCAGTCAATCAGGCATCAAAGATGGTACAGTTAAGCAATTATAATCTGTATAAAAGTATAAAAACATAGCTCTTCAATAGGTTATATTATCATTGTCGACTACGTCCACCAGAATGGACTCTGTGATAATATTTTTCCTCCTCTCCATACGCTAGTGAACTTTTGTTACATACAGAGGCAACCCTAGGTAATTTTCAATGGTAAGCAATCAGTATTTTGCCCCCCCCCCCCCGCCCAACCAATCACTGATATATATTTTCTGTTCGTCGTGGGAGTTCTGTGTGCCATATTTGCTTCAATTCCATCATTGGTGGTGTTCAGAATGCTCTTTGATTGTAGGTGAACTATACATCCCAGTAACTACAACTCGCATATGTCAAGGTCTATTTTCCCCCAAGAGCACCTCAAGAGCGCCCCTGGGCAAAATCAACTATACTGCGAATGCTTACTTTGCGTAATGGTTGAGCCGCCCTTGGTTACATAACTTTAGGATATTAATTCTGTGGCTAAATGAAGAAATCTTTAATTTCCTTAGAGACCAATATAATCAGACTAGTCTTTCTTTCCTTGATCCTCATATGTGTACTCATGTTTTCTAACCAAAACTGAATCCTATCTCAGCTTGTGCATTTTACCTTCTTTTTTTTTCAGTTACAACTCTCAAAATCCCTTAGCCAGTATGGGGGAATCTGGCAGTTGTTAACCAAAAAAGAAATACATTTCCCAAGGGCTCAGTTTTTCTTTCCTCCACAGACTTGCTGACGGTGCCACCTGGTTGGAAGAAGGGTGTTGAATTCACCAAACAAGGTAACTGGTTGTGGCATTAGTTTGTATATACTGTATATTCTGTAAGATAGCTATTGATTTACTCAGTTACAGAAGAAGCCAGCCATTTTGGTTTGAACTGATGAGCCAAGGGACAGTCCTATGTTTCAGTACCTCCCCTGAAAAAAACTACAATTCCCAAGACTCATGGAGACACGGCATTCAAAGTAAGGTCCAACTGCATTAATTCCACAATGTAAATGCACCCAGAAATGGGTATGGACCTTGGGAAACAATAACTCCCAGGAGGATTCCATCACATGAAGCCATGGCATTCACGGGGTGTCTGCACTCTACACCACTGGAGAAATTACACTGCTTAGCCGGTATTGCACCACCTGACATCCGCCGGGAAGTAGCAGCCAATAGGGAAAGGACCAAGGCAGAGACATCTCCAGCTCATCCCCTGTTTGGGTATCAGCCAGCACGTCAACAACTTAAATCTAGAAATAGTTTTCTAAGATCTACAGAGACACTTGCCGGAGCACCTCAGCAAGCGAGAGTCCAAAAGTGGCAGGCTCAAACCCAGAACCTCAACCAATGCCTGATACCAAATGAGAGACTCCCTCCTGGGCACACAGAAGACTGGGAGACTTGGAAGGCGCTGAACAGACTGCGCTCTGGCACCACGAGATGCAGAGCCAACCTCAAGAAATGGGGCAACAAAGTGGAATCCACGACATGCGAGTGTGGAGAAGAGCAAACCACTGACCACCTGCTGCAATGCAACCTGAGCCCTGCCACATGCACAATGGAGGACCTTCTTGCAGCAACACCAGAGGCACTCCAAGTGGCCAGATACTGGTCAAAGGACATTTAATCAACTACCACACTCACACATTTTGTATTTTGTCTGTCTGTTTGTTTGTTTGTTTTGTTCTGTTAGAAATACAATTGACTGGTTGCCCTGACACGACAAATAAATAAAATGGCATTTAAAGTGGGGTGTGAGGGCATTCATATAATATAATATATTGTATATATACATATAATATTTATAATCTTGTAATGTAATGCAATATAATAATAATATGATATTATAATTATATATTTATATTACATGTAATATTACTAATAATATTACAATATAATGGTAAAGTACAATATAGTAACATTTAATACTGTGCAGGTACAGCTGTACCAGAAGCTCCCACTTTATTTGCTTTGCATTCATTGAATGTTTGTTTGCAGTCCTAAGTTTCAGAGACTCTGCAGATAGATGGCTTCTTTTGGTTGCAGTTATAGGGCAAGCCACCTGTCCATCATCGTTGAGTTTGGTCCCGCCCCTGCTCAGGGCAATTGGGAAGGGAAGGGAGCCATTTTTCAGTTAGTCTCAGCTAGGAAGTCAATGTACAGGACGTGTACAGACTTTCTCCTGTACAAAGGCTTCAACCCTTAAGACTTCCCGGGGGAGAACAGTCTTAAGAGCATCTAAAGATTCCCAAAGGTTCCAGGGAAACAGCCTTACGGCCCTGAGGAATTTTGGAGGGAATAACAGCTTTAAACACCAAGAACTCCAGCTCAGTGAGTGCAGGTCTACTGGTACGTCCACTCGGTTTTGAGACGCAGTTCAGCCCAGTAGTGGACCCACATCAGTCAGGCTTAGGTTCACAGTTAGCCTGGGAGGAGCTAGAAAGGGATTTTCCTTTGAAGTAAAGCAAAGAAACAGTTAGAAGCCACCCGTTGTTTGAAGCCTGAAAGCATTTGTTTAATCTTTGAAGACAAAAGAAGTTTCTGTTTAATTGTTCATCAATAAAAGACTTTGTTGTATTTAAGCTCAAGCCTTCTAAAGACTGTTTAATGGGGGAAATTCTCTAAGGGCTTCTCTTCGGGGCCCCTGACTTCCCGTTGGGCTAAAGTTGCACATCCTGTTTTAAAGGCACTTCGTTTCAAGCCCAGCGGCGACAGAACAAATACTGATATTATACTATGCTAATAATATAATATATTTTATATATAGCTGTTGGAACTCTTCCAGCAGATCATTCCACAGTCTTGAGGTGACCAGTGAAAATGTCCCCTAGGTGACGAACACTATGTGTTTCTATGTTTTTCCCACTTCAGAGCTCAAAGCCTCCCCAGGGCTGCTGAATTTGACAAACTTGTTGGGAGCCCTGGACACCTTTGAATTGGGCAGCTCCAGCGATGAAGAAGACAAGGCTGAGGAAGGGGAGAAGAAGCAGAGGAAGAAAGGGGCGGAAGGCAAAGGGACAAAGGCAGGAGAGGCAACACCAGCAGAACAGGCCCCTCTGCAGAGGGCAAACAGTTTGGAGGAGTTGGTGCTGAAGGTAGGGAAAAGCAGATACGTCCATAGCAGTATGAAAGGATCTGGAGCAGTTCAAAGCTTGGAGCCCATTTTCACCATTTCTGTCCCTCTTCTTTGCCTCAATCTCAGGAAGTGACTCCCACCCCCAAATCCTCCCCTCCGGCTGCCCCAGCTCCCACTACTGAGCCCCCCAAAGAGCAGTGGGCCATCCCTGTGGATATCAGTTCCCCTGTCGATGATTTCTACAAACGCATTCCTGACCCAGCTTTCAAGGTAAGGGCAGATATTGGAGAGGAAGGAAAACTTAGGGCTTTATCATGGTTGGAGTGATTGAGATTTGTGTGGGAGATCTAGATCCATGTCCTCACAGAGCCATTCATTGGAGGGCATTGGTGTTGTTGTTTCTTCTCAAGCATAATCCACCTGACCAAGTTGTTACGAGCATAACATAAGGTATTAGGAAAGTTATGTATCGTATATACTCAAGTATAAGCCAACCCAAATATAAACCGAGGCACCTAATTTTACCACAAAAAAGATGGGAAAATTTATTGACTCGAGTATAAGCCAAAGGTGGGAAATGCAGCAGCTACTGGTAAATTTCAAAATAAAAATAGATACCAATAAAATTAATTGAGGAAACAGTAGGTTAAATGTTTTTCAGTGTTTACATAAAACTGTAATTTAAAATAAGAGTGACCAACTTTGATTAAACCATTATTCTAACCCTTTTCAGTGTAAATGTGCTTATGTATCCTTCCAATAATAATAAAGAAAGTAAAATAATAAATGTAATAACCACAATAATAAAGTAAAATAATAAATGTAATAACAATAACAAAATAAAGCAATAAATGTAATAATAATAATAGAGTAAAATAAATGTAATAAAATAATAATAGAGTAAAATAATGCAAATGTAATAATACTAATAATAGAGTAAAATAATAAATGTAATAACAACAATAAAATAAAACAAATGTAATAATAATAGAGTAAAATAAATGTAGTAAAATAATGTAAATGTAATAATACCAATAATAGAGTAAAATAATAAATGTAATAAAAATAATAGTAATAACAGAGTAAAATAATAAATAACTTTGACTAGAGTATAAGCTGAGGGAAGCTTTTTCAGCCTAAAAAGGGGGCTGAAAAATTAGGCTTATACTTGAGTACTTACAGTATGTAGGATATATCAATATAACACAAATCTCTCTTCTCCTTTTGCTCATGTTCCATCCCTGCGACCATCCAGTGGCCCTTTGAGCCTGATGTTTTCCAGAAACAGGCAATTCTCCATTTGGAGAAGCACGATTCGGTCTTCGTTGCTGCCCACACCTCTGCCGGGAAGACCGTGGTGGCCGAGTATGCCATCGCTCTGTCGCAGAAGCACATGACACGGTGGGAGCATCTTGGTTTCCTTCTGTTTGTACTCTTTAGACACCCAACCTCAGTCTCACGGTGAAGCTATCAGTAGATGGAAATATAAGCAGCTGGACTTGGGGTAGTTTTCAATTTTTGGACTGCAAGTCACAAGATTCCCCCACCCACATGACTGTGTTGGCTGAAGGGATTCTGGGGCTTACAGTCTCTAGAGTTGGAAGAGACCTTGTGGGCCATCCAGTCCAACCCCCTGCCAAGAAGCAGGAAAATTGCATTCAAAGCACCCCTGACAGATGGCCATCCAGCCTCTGTTTAAAAGCCTCCAAAGAAGGAACCTCCACCACACTCCGGAGCAGAAAGTTCACTGCTGAACAGTTCTCACAGTCAGGAAGTTCTTCCTCATGTTCAGATGGAATCTCCTTTCTTGAAGTTTGAAGCCATTGTTCTATTGCATCTTAGTCTCCAGGGGAGCAGAAAACATGTTCGCTCCCTCCTCCCTATGACTTTCTCTCAAATATTTATACATGGCTATCATGTCTCCTCTCAGCCTTCTCTTCTTCAGGCTAAACATACCCAACTCTTTAAGTCGCTTCTCATAGAACTTGTTCTCCAGACCCTTGATCATTTTAGTCGCCCTCCTCTGGATACATCCCAGCTTGTCAACATCTCATTTCAATTGTGGTGTCCAGAATTGGACACAGTATTCCAAATGTGGTCTAACCAATGCAGAATAGAGGGGTAGCATGACTTCCCTGGATCTAGACACTAGACTCCTGTTGATGCAGGCCAAAATCCCATTGGCTTTCTTTGCCACCGAATCACATTGTTGGCTCATGTTTAACTTGTCCACGAGAACTCCAAGATCTTTTTCACATGTACGGCTCTTGAGCCAGGCATCCCCCATTCTGTATCTTTGCATTTCGTTTTTTCTGCCTAAGTGGAATATCTTGCATTTGTCCCAATTGAAGTCCAAAAAGATTAAGTAAGTTCACCTAGGTCAGGCATGGGGAAACTTCGACCCTCCATGTGTTTTGGACTTCAACTATCACAATTCCTAACAGCCAGTAGGCTTTTGATTATCTGCCATTTGGACGGGGGATAATGGGAACTACAAGCCAACAGCCCCAGTGGCTCTGAGGATGCGGAAAGATTGAATGGCATTTTAACATCAGACTTCATAACCAGAAGTCTTGTATTTCAGTTTAAACCCCACTCTCCTGACTAACCAGAAAAAACCACAGCCTTCCAGATGTTAATGTGTCACAACTCCCTTCAGGGCATTGAGTCTGACACATGTGATCTAGTGAGTGATATCTGCACGGAATAGGAACAATTAGGGAGAGAAATGAGGAACAGTGTATTGTCGAAGGCTTTCATGGCTGGAATCACTGGGTTGTAGGTTTTTCGGGTTATATGGCCATGTTCTAGAAGCATTCTCTCCTGACATTTCACCTGCATCTATGGCAAGCATCCTCAGTTGTTGGGAGATCCTCAGACCTCACAACCTCTGAGGATGCTTGCCTAGATGCAGGCCAAACATCAGGAGGGAATGCTTCTAGAAAATGGCCATATAGGCCGAAAAACCTACAACAACCCAGAAATGAGGAACCTTTGACCCTTCAGAAGTTTTGAGTTTTGATTCTGAGAGGACTTAGCCTACATAGCTAATGGTATTGTTTTGCAACCTTTGGTTAAGAACATGACTATTTATTTTGTGTAGAGAAGGAGATTTGCATAGAACTTTTTATATTGGGCATGGGCAAAATTCTGCCCTCACTGTGGGAGTTGAAATCCAAAACACTGGAAGGGCCGGAATTTGCCCATGCCTGTTCTATATCCGTCATAGAGAAGAGAAGCAGTCCTTCAGGTGTGTCCTTCCTCTGGGCTCTTAAGTCTTCCTCCACATTCTTTTTCAGTACCGTCTACACTTCTCCAATCAAGGCTCTTTCCAATCAGAAATTCCGGGATTTCAAAAACACCTTTGGTGATGTGGGGTTGCTGACGGGAGATGTTCAGCTGCATCCAGATGCCTCATGTCTCATCATGACAACAGAGATCCTTCGGTGAGGAAGACTGAGAGAAGGGTTGCCTAGGGTTTGTGTTAGCCTTAGTTCATTTCTGCAATTCCTCTCTTTTCTGGTCCCAGGTCCATGCTGTATAATGGCTCCGATGTTCTCAGAGACCTGGAATGGGTGATATTTGATGAAGTGCATTACATTAACGATTCTGAGGTAAGAGCTACATACTGGATTGTCCAAGAAGTGGTGGGGTGTGTCTTCCATATCTCATTTTCCTCCTCCTCCTCTGCAGCGGGGCGTGGTGTGGGAAGAAGTCCTTATTATGCTGCCGGACCACGTGAATATCATCCTGCTGAGTGCCACTGTCCCCAATACCTTGGAGTTTGCCGATTGGATTGGGTGAGCCTTGGGGATCAAACCCGAAGTCTGTCTGATCTAGAGGCTTATCTAATCCAGCACCATGTTTTCCACAGTAGCCTGCCAGATATACTTGAGAAACCCACGACAAACTAACTTAATCTCATATTTCTGTTCTTCAGTTGTAACCCAGGAACAAAAACGGTGTTACATAGTGTTGTCTAGATTGGGAAACAGCCAGAAGGATTTACCCAACCTTCCTGTTCCAGCAGGGTCATGGAGGTTTGGCTGTTTCTGAGGCTACATTTTCATACATTCTTAAAAACCAGTTCATATACAAAATATGTAGGAAATAGATACAGTGTACAGTTAAAATATACAAATTACACAAAATCATTGAAAAAAATATAGCAAAATGTATTGTTGAAGGCTTTCACGGCCAAAATCTCTGGGTTGTTGTAAGTTTTTCGGGTTGTATGGCCATATTCCAGAAGCATTCTTTCCTGACGTTTCACCTACATCTATGGCAGGCATCCTCAGAGGTTGTGAGGTCTGTTGGAAACTAGGAAAATTGGGTTTATATATATGTGGAATGTCCAGGGTGGGAGAAAGAACTCTTGTCTGTTGGAGGTAGGTGTGAATGTTTCAATTGGCCACTTTGATTAGCATTTCATGGCCTAGCAGTTTTCAAGGTGTGGCTTGAAAACCTCCAACAGACAAGAGTTCTTTCTTCCACCCTGGACATTCCACAGCTATATAAACCCTATTTTCCTAGTTTCCAACAGGCCTCACAACCTCTGAGGATGCCTGCCACAGATGAGGGTGAAACGTCAGGAGAGAATGCTTCTGGAACATGGCCATGCAGCCCAAAAAACTCACAACAACCCTATAGCAAAATGTGCTGCTAGATGTCCTTCCCATAAAAATAACATTTTTGCAGTTTAATAAACCTTTTCCATGTTTTTATGATAGAATCAATTTGGGAATGACATTTAGAACCCAGGAACAAAAATCGTGTTGCATAGTGTCATTTTTAGATAGTTCGAAGTTCTAAACTACAACTCCCAGGATTCCATAGCCTTCAGCCCATGGCAGTTAAAATGGCATCAAACTGCATTAATTCTACAGTATAGATGCATCCCATGACTACAGATGCTTTCACTGCAACTTCTTTCAGTTAACCTCAAAAGTGGTACCAGATCCCTTTGCATGCATGGTTTATTTAGTAACTCCTGCTAGTTTATCTGCTATGCTTACCTTTCCCCATATGATCAATTTTATTTTCAGTGTTAAGAAATAACTTGGAGGTCTTGTGATGTTTGCAAAATCTCATTTCTGCTGCATGGGTAGAGTGACCTTTGCTTGGAATATAGACAAGTCCAAGGAGAAGCTAGGGAATGAGGAGCCTTTAGTGGGATCCTGGTAGAACGTCTGCATTCTTTCACCCTTCTTGCAGGAGGATCAAAAGAAAGAAAATCTATGTGATTAGTACGCTGAAGCGACCTGTCCCTCTGGAGCATTACCTGTACACAGGCAACAGTCAGAAAACCCAAAATGAGCTCTTCCTCTTAGTTGATGCCCGGGGCACATTTCTTACCAAGGGGTAAGCCCATCCATGTCAGATGTTATCTCTCTTTCCACACGTATTCTTCTTGCCTTTCTTATATACGGTCTGCCCTCAGTCTATATCCACGGATTATGTATGTGCTCATCGGTGCAACCATCCACAACTTGAAAACATGTTTCTTCAAAATTCCCCAAAAGCAAACTTTGATTTTCCCTTTTAATGTATGGGACATCAGATTACTTGCACCATTGTATATAATGGGACTTGAGCTTTTATGGATTTTGGTATGCCCCATAAGGCATCAGGTTTAAAAGCCTTATTGAGCCATTTTAGTATGCAGCTGGAATAAATGGTCCCTTGGAGCTTCTAAGGGTTATAAATTCTGCCTGAAGTTTGGCTTCTCGTATTAGAGAATACTAGAGTAGGAAGAAAGCCCAGGTCCATCCAATCCAACCTCTTTCTGGCATTCATGAATACACAATTAAAGCACTCTCTGCAGATGTCCATCCAGCCTCTGCTTAAAAACCTCCAGAGAAGAAAGCACATAATGGTACCTCCCTCCTCTTTATCCGTCCTCCATTCCTCGGTCCTGCCTTCCTCACAGATGCGTTTGGCTGGTGATGAGCGACAGGGCCTTCTCAGTGGTGGCCCCTTGACTGTGGAACACCCTTCCCAGGGACATAAGTTTGGCCCCCTCCCTTCTGACTTTTCGAAGAAAGGTTAAAATCTGGCTTTTTGAGCAAGTCTTTGCTAATCCAGCATAATTATACAAAATCATGGAACGACCTGACGATGCAATCGAATAATGATTTTTACAAGGAGATGCTCATAACAATGTTTTTATGGCTTGTACTGTTTTTTATATTTTTATATTTTATGCTAAATGTTTTTAACAGTATTTTATGGTTGTTTTACTTGTTGAAGCATCAAATGTTGCCAGCTGTGAAGCGCCCTGAGTCGCCTTCGGACTGAGAAGGGCGCTTTACAAATATGTTAAATAAATAAATACGTTTTTACACTAACATAAAATACATACACCTTTCAGTCAGGTATCAGCAATTTCCTTAACATGTTTACTTGCTTTTCTCCTGCACACAAATCTTCCAGGTATTATGATGCTGTGGAGGCCAAAAAGGAGCGGGCCAGCAAACACTCACAGACTTTCGGGGCCAAACAGCCAATGCATGCGGGAGCCGGGCCGGGGCAGGTATGCTAAGCCAACCCATGGGTTGGATGCTCCATTCACAGAACTTCCTGTCCTTTTCATGGAAGAGACCCCCAGGGCCATTACCGTCAGGAAGAGGGTGGAATCTTTTTTCTAGTAATTTGAACTCATTGTTCTGTATCCAGGTCTCTAGAGCAACGGGAAACATGCTTTTCCATCTTTAAGCAGGCACAGTCAGATATATGAAGGGCTCTATGAATATTTGAATGAATATTCATCTCCATTAGAATCTTGGGCCATCAGTGACTGTATTCATTACATAAGTGTGCTACGTTTGCTGAGTCCATAAGGACAAAAGGCCTGTCTTTCTGAATCATGGTGGACAATATGTAGTTGTGAGCTATATGTGGCACTCCCATCCATTTCTGCACCTCTGTTGCTACGCTACTGAATTGGTAGCTGAAATTAGGTATATGGCAGTTTCAAAGTGGTGTTTTACTTATCGTACTTACTTTACTTATTTAGGTGATCCCTCCAAGAGTAGTAACTTGGAGGTGGGTCTGTAGGTGGCTTTGGAGCCCTATTCATGATCTGCATGAGGGCATTGTTTTCCAGGTGGAAGGAATATATGGATAATGTATCATATTGAAAGGATACAAAAACCACTTGTATGTAAGGGTTTGGGTTTGTTTGTTTGTTTGTTTTAACATCTAATGAAATCTGATCCCAACCCCACCCCTCCCCAAAATAGCCTTCAGCAGGCATTTATTTATTTATTTATTTGCAGTATTTATATCCTGCCCTTCGCACCCCACAGGGGACTCACACATACATGGCAAACATTCAATGCCATAGACACACAACATATATAGACAGACACACAGAGGCTATTTAACATTCCAGCTTTCATGAGGGTATTCTGGTCCCAGGGGAGCTGTCGCTTCACCATCCATTAGTGACAATTATGGAGTACTTCCTCATTTTTTTGCTGGAGATTTTTATGGCGTCGTAAATTAGTTAAATTAGCCTCCCAGCATAAGTGGCACCTAAATTACCTACTTGACAGATGCAACTGTCTTTCAGGCTACAAAGGTCGACAGCAGGCTATACAATGGTCGGAAGCTCACTCTGACCCGGGCTGGCTTCGAATTTATGACCTTTTGGTCAGCAGTGATCTTAATGCAGCTGACTCCCAGCCAGCTGCACCACAGTCCCAGTGCTAAGAAGAATACCAAATCTTCAGTATCCCCAGTGTTTTGGACTTCTACAATTCCTAATAGGCTGCTGGCTGTTAGGTGTTCTGGGAGTTGAAGTCCAAAACACCTGGAGGGACAAAGTTTGTCCATTCCTGCTCTTGAGTATTTTCCAGTAGCTCCTGTTTTTGGAATATCTGAAAAGGAAGGAAGGCAGCAACAGAATTGGAGTAAAGGCCCAACTTTCCCAACTGGGATGAGGGGACATCATAAACCTTGGCTTTGAGCAAATCTGGACTTCTTGTATCCCCTCCAGGACAAAAACATTTGGCTATCGCTCATTGACATGCTGCGGAAGAAGGACCAACTGCCGGTGGTCGCCTTCACATTCTCTCGCAACCGCTGCGATGAGAACGCCTCTATGCTGACCACTGTGGATCTGACCACTACCACCGAGAAAAGTGAGATCCACGTCTTCTTCCAAAAGTGCATCTCCCGCCTTAAAGGCACGGACCGCCAGTTGCCTCAGGTCAGAAGGAGTCAGAGCACTCCCAAGGAATTTAACGAGTGTCCCTTTTTCAAATTGGACATGTAGAAGTAGAGAAATTAAAGAAAGCAGGCCATGAGGATTTCAAAAAAGAAAGCAAGCATTCAACCCTTTCATATTTATTCTTTCAGGTTCTTCACATGGTGGACCTCTTAAAGCGTGGCATCGGGGTCCACCATAGTGGCATCCTGCCCATCCTGAAGGAGGTGGTGGAGATGCTGTTCAGCAAGGGCCTTGTCAAAGTGAGTCCTATTGGCCTTCTTGCAAAGGGGAAGGAGAAACAAGGGTTTGGGGCTGCATGGGGGTTGCAGAAGAGAGAATAATGTCGTGCTGGCATATTGCACTTTCCCACGGCTCTCCCAAGGAATCATTGCACTTACTCTGAGCCTGAACCCAGTTTCAAATTGGCCAGCCACGGTATTGTTTTTATAATGTTAATTGATTTTAATTTATTATTATTGTTATTATTTGTTGATATTGATTGTTTTTACTGTGTCTGTTTTATTTGTAATCTTTGGGCTTGTCCCTCTGTAAGCTGCTCCAAGTCCCTTTGGGGAGGTGGAGGCAGTGTATAAAAATAAAGTTGTTGTTAATATTATTATTATTATTATTATTATTATTATTATTATTTTACTGACACAAAAACACAGTATGTCACAGAAAATGAGATCTATATGCTGGATTTCGTATCACAAAATCACAAGTCGAACACTTCCCAAGCGTCTAGGACTGTGTGATGTATTTTTGAATGATGCACTCAGATCCAAGTAAGGTGGCTTTTTGCAGTTGACAGTTTGTGATTTTGTCAATGTTTATTGTTTCCAAATGCCAGCTGAGATCTTTTAGCATGGCACCCAATGTGCCAATCTCCACTGAGACCACCTGTACTGGTTTATGCCAGAGCCTTTGCAGTTGGATTTTGAGGTCTTGATAACGGCTGAGTTTTTCCTGTTGTTTTTCCTCAGTGTGACTGTCACCTGGAATAGCGACATCAATAATCCAAACTTTTTTCTTTTCCACAATCATGATGTCTGGTGTATTGTGTTCCAAAACTTTGTCATTCTGGATTCGAAAGTCCCACAGTATTTTTGTGTGTTCATTTTCCACTATCTTTGTAGGTTTATGATCCCACCAGTTCTGTACTACTGGCAGGTGGTACTTGTGACATGAATCATTTCGGCCACAGAGTTGTGCCTCTGTTTGTAGTCCGTCTGTGCAATTTTCTTGCAGCAGCTGAGGATATGATCAATGGTTTCATCAGCTTCCTTGCACAGTTTGCATTTTGGTTCATCAGCTGATTTTTCAATCCTGGCCTTAATGGCATTTGTTCTGATGGCTTGCTCCTGGGCTGCAAGAATCAGGCCTTCTGTTTCCTTCTTCAGTGTTCCATTCATGAGCCTTATTATTATCATTATTATTATTATTATTATTATTACTACTACTACTACTACTACTACTACTATTCGGCCATGACTAGTGTGATGTTGCATTAGGAATAGGGTCAGAGCACCCTCTAGCATGGCTTCTCCTCTTGCTTCCATTTAGATCCTCTTTGCCACAGAGACTTTTGCCATGGGGGTGAACATGCCAGCCAGGACCGTGGTCTTCGATTCGATCCGTAAACACGACGGCACGAACTTCCGGGACCTGGTGCCAGGTAGGGAAACGAAGGTGGAGATCAGAGTAGTTTAATTTCTCCCTGCCTTGAGATATATTCTGTATTGTAACCAGGATGGCTAACTATAGTCTTAAAACACAGTCGTCTTTCTGCATTTGCAGATTTTACTTTTGCGGGTTTGATTGCACTATAAATAATAATAATAATAATAATAATAATAATAATAATAATAATAAATAATCTTTATTTATATCCAGCTTTTCTCCCTAACAGAACCCAAAGCGGTTGACAACATAATACAATACAAATCAAAGCACATTTAACATAAAATACATGACAAAAATCACAAAGCATAATAACATGCAAAAATAAGATATAAATAAATATTAAGCATTACCAACATTTAAAACCAATTACATTTATTGTGGAGACTCATCAATTAAATAGTATATTTCGCTAAGTTCAGTGCAAATTGACTTTGCTGTCATTAGCAATTGATTTTGTCAAAAGCTTGCTTGAACAGGTAGGTATTCAACTGGTTCTTGAAAGATAACAGGGAAGGGGCAGTTTTAATCTCAATGGGAAGGGAGTTCCAAAGGGCCAGAGCGGCTACTGAGAAGGCCCTCTCTCTCATCACCGCCAACCATATTTGTGACAGTGGTGGCAGCCAGAGAAGGGTCTCTCCAGAAGATCTTAATGATATGGCAGGTTGGTAAGAGGTGCACCTTGAATCAGGCTCGGAAATATATTGGCAACCAGTGTAGGTGCTGTAACGGGTGTGGTACGCTCCCTGGGTCCAGCACCTGTCAATAACCTGGCTGCAGATCTCTGAACTAGTTGGCGTTTCTGGGCACTTTTCAAGGGCAGTCCCACTATGCAACATGATTTTTTGTTCCTAGGTTATAAATGTCATTTCCTAATTGGTTCCTATCATAAAAAACATGAGAAATGTTTATTAAACTGCAAAAACAAAACAAAACAAAAACACCCAAAACATTGATTTTGCAGAAGGGACATCCTACAGCACATATTTGGCCCATTTTCAAGAATGGATGCTTTATGTTCAGTTTTAATTGCTTGATGACCCTTGTTTATATTTTTATTGTTTTAAAAAAATCTATTGCTGACATAAAAAGGAGGGATACATTTGTTTGCATGCAGCTGACATAACCTTGTAATTTAAACACACACACACACAACTGAGACATTCTCCTGTTTAATCTTAAGGCAGCAAGACCAAAATAGCAACAACAAAATAGCGGAGATGAGAGACAGGGCCTTCTCAGTGGTGGCCCCTCGGCTGTGGAACGCCCTCCCTATAGATATTAGATCGACCACCTCCCTTTTAACATTCTGGAAAAAAGTCAAGATGTGGATTTTTGAACAAGCATTTGCAAATGCAGAGTAACTGACATAGGAAAATGGAATGACTAGACAATGAGTCTGGAGAATGTTTTTAACAAGGAGACACTATGAATTTATATTTTATTGATTTGTTTAGCTTTTATTATATGTTATGTTTTTAATTGTATTTATGACATTGAAAGCATTGAATTTTGCCCTGTTAACCGCCTTGAGTCACCTATGGCCTGAGAAAGGCAGTATACAAATACAGTAAATAAATAAACAAACAAACATAGGAGTGCATCTACATTGTAGAATTAATGCTGTTTGATGCCACTTTAACTGTCATGGCTCAATGCTATGGAATCCTGGGAGTTGTAGCTGCGGAGGTACCACCACCATTTGGCAGAGAAGGCTCAAGACCTTGTAAAACTACAACTACCACAATATCATAGCATTGAGCCATGATAGTTAAAAGTGGTGCCAAACAACAGTGTAGATGCACCTTTGGCAGCCTGGTGGCCATTTACTCTGTCATCGTGGGAAAGCAAAAAGGAAGTTTGCCCTTTTGTCCTCCTTAAGTCTACCTAGGCTCCTAGTTGCCAGCTGTATTCCCTCCTGAGTTACATTGGACTCTCAGTGTCACCATCTTCTCACATTTTCTCTTGCTGCCATCCTTTCCTATAGCTGAATATATCCAGATGGCAGGCCGGGCTGGTCGCCGTGGCCTTGATACTACTGGGATGGTGATCATTCTGTGCAAAAACCAAGTTCCTGAGATGGCTGATCTTCACCGGATGATGTTGGTGAGTGACTCTTGCTCTCTTTCCTCTCTCTTGCTCTTGTCATCTTTTACTCATACAGTATTTTTCTTTTTGTTTTTAGTATGTTTGTATTCAAGAAAAACAAAATAAAACATACAAAGGGACATTTTAGAAACACGATAACTACAGAACTGCATGCTATACACTAGAATGGTTTTGGTCCAACTTACCTATCCAAACGTATCTCTCCTTATGAACCATCTAGGATGTTAAGATCTTTTGGGGAGGCTGTGCTCTCGCTCCCGCCTTCCTCGCAGATGCGTTTGGTGGGGACGAGAGAAAGGGTCTTCTCAGCGGTGGCCCCTCGACTGTGGAATGCCCTGTCTAGGGATATAAGATCGCCCCCCCCCCTCCTGACTTTTTAAAGGAGAGTGAAAGTCTGGCTTTTTGAGCAGGCTTTTCCAAGTACAGCATAGCTATACGAATTCACGGAACAACTTGACGATGAAACTGAATAATGATTTGACATGGTAACACTCACGATAATGTTTTCAAGGCTTGTACGGTTTTTAATATCTTTTTAAAATCTTAATATTTTATACTGTATGTTAAATGTTTTAATGCTATTTTATGTTTGTTTTTTACTGTTATAATTGTTGTGGCATTGAATTGTTGCCACTTGTGAACTGCCCTGAGTTGCCCTCAGGCTGAAAAAGGCGCTATATAAATGTTGTAAATAAATAAATAATAATAATAATAATAAATAATAGAACTAAACAACTATTTTAAAAAACCTACTAAGTTCCCACTCTCTATCTAATGGTTGTTGTCCCTTGTTAGTGTCATCTCTTTAAACCTTAGGAAACACTCTATTATTGTGTAGTCAAAGGCTTTCATAGCTGGAATTACAGGGTTGCGATGAGTTTTCCGAACTGTCTGGAAAACTCACCAAAAGCATTCTCTCCTGAGGTTTCACCCACATCTATGGCAGGCATCCTCAGGGCTTGTGAGGGCGGAACATCAGGAGAGAATGCTTCTGGAAGATGGCCAGGCAGCCCAGAAAACTCACTGCAACTCACTCTAGAATTTCCTGAATCCATGGTTAATTAATGCAGAAAGACAACTGTGAACAAAAAAAGTGTTACATAGTCTTATCAAAGTCTAAAGTCAGCATATTATGCATAATACTATGCAAAAACTGAATAAAATGTTCACGGTAATTTATAAATGTCTGCATCTCTCTCTCTCTCAAAGTTGTTTATATAGATGGTGGTGATTTTTTCTTCTTTCTTAGCATACAGTAGTCTTACTACTGTAGTCATGTATTGAGGAAGTCTTTCATGTTCTGTCTTCATTTTTCCCCATGTCAGGAGAAACTGCAAGTTGCTTCTGGTGTGAGAGAATTGATTGTCTGCAAGGACATTGCCCAGGGGATGCCCAGATATTTTACCTTCCTGTGGGAGGCTTCTCTCATGTCCCCACATGGGAAGCTGGAGCTGACAGATGGGAGCTCACTCTGCTCCCCAGATCTGAACCGCCAACCTTTCGGTCAGCAGTCCTGCCAGCACAAGAGTTTAACCCATTGCACCACTACCTTAAATAAATATCACAATGTTCTTAAGATCTTAGTTGAATCTACTTTTTTGCCAATATGGGAAGGAACCACTGTTTATAGAAATGCTATCCCGGCTCTCCTGAACTGGAAAAATGATTAGCTGTCCGGACGTGTAGCTTTCTGGCGAAAAACTTACCTCACAAACAAAGTTGGAAGGCTTTAATTCAAAAGCATGTATTAGAGAATGCAACAAAATTCCAATTGACAGTTTATTTTCCTTACGCCTCACCCTGGCTCCTTCCCTGCATTGCTCCAGTTTGCATGGCAACCCTTTCCTAGATTTCAGATATACACAGGACAGGTCTAAGGCATGGCCTAATTTCCTAGCTTCACATAAAACCAGGAAATAAGGTCATGACATCAGCAATTAATCAACCACTCTTTATCTGGCTATGAAGCATTCAGGATATGCAGCATAGAATAATACTATGTAATAAAATTTGAAGCATTATTATTTCCTGTTTAATTGTGCGGTTATTACTTTGAGAGTAGTTGTTATACTTCAGAAACTTTGTTTTTGTGGCTGAGCGTAGTACTGTTACTCCCTTCAGTCTAGATAAGGCAAAAGCAAACTTGGGCCTTCCCGGTATTTTGGATGTTAACTCCCACAATTCCTAACAGCCGGTAGGGTCCACCGGAAGGGCCCAAGTTTGCCTCAGCCTGCTCTAACCCTTGTCCTCTTTCCTTAGGGCAAACCAACTCAGTTGCAGTCCCAGTTCCGCTTAACCTACACCATGATCCTGAACCTCTTGAGGGTAGAAGCCCTTCGCGTGGAGGACATGATGAAGAGGAGCTTCTCTGAGTTCCACACCCGGAAGGACAGCAAGGTAGGAAGGGGATGATCTGGGTAATGGACATGTGAACCTTGAAACCTTATGGGATGGATGAAAAACTCCCTTCAATTATCCCAGATTTTGAATTGTATCTTCCCTCTGCACACACCTCCTAGGCCCATGAATACAGAATTGCCCAGCTGAGCTCCATCTTGGCCAACATGGAAATACCAGATACAACAGGACAGCTCAGTGATTTGGAAGAATATTACCGGGCGGTCCAAGACTTGCAGGAAAATCGGAAATTCATACAGGTAATTGATTTGACGAAAGTCCGCATTTCCTTGCCTTGTCGTTGTTCAGGCCTCAGATCTGACTGATTAATATCCCAGATATAGGACTCAGATATGTCTCTAGGGCAGATATGGGCAAACTTCAGCCCTTCTGGTGTGTTGAACTTCAACTCCCACAATTCTTAACAGCCTACTGGCCAAAAGAGCTTTTGCATGCATTCATAAATGATTTAGGGAGAGGCCTGCTCTTTCTGCAGGCGAGTCTTGGAACTTCACACTTGTATGCAAGTAATAGTAAATAATAAGAAACTTTATTTCTATACCGCCCTATCTCCCCAAGGGGACTCAGGGCGGTTCTAAAGCAGCTTTGGCTCAGCACTAAGAATCTGATGTGCATCCTAATTTTGGAAAGATGATTTAGATTTCCGTAAATACAGTATGTGATTGTATAGAGGTGTTTGACTACATAGTGCCCTGTTTTGAGCTGAAAGGAGAGGCGGGTAATGAATAAAAATACTATAATATTATTGTTTGATACACAAGAAGATTATTACACAGCAAACAAGATCATAATAATGATGAGGATGATGATGATACAATCGATGTTGCAATCCCAGGTGACAGCAGGATTTAAGAGAAATAACTGGAAAAGCTGACACGATATGAGGATTTAAAGATTGAACTGCAAAGATTCTGGCACAGACCAGTAATGGCACACCTGGTGCAGTGCCTAAAGACCTTGCCGATACAGTTGGCCACTTAAACACAATTGGTGCTGACAAAATTACCATCTGCCAGCTGCAAAAGACCACCTTATGGGATCTGCATGCATTATTTGCGATACATCACACAGTCCTAGACACTTGGGAAGTGTCTGACGTGTGATCCAATACAACAGCCAGCAGAGTATCTGCTGCTGTGGACTCATCTTGTTGTGTTTCAAATAAAAACAACAACAACTTCATTTTTATACCCCGCCTCCATCTCCCTGAAGGGACTCAGAGCGGCTTACAAAGGGACAGGCCTGAAAAAACACAGATTAAAACACAATGCAATAAAGTAAAATCAAAAACAAAATCAAAATATCAGAAATAAAATAAACATATCACAATAACACAACACAATATATTAAAAGCAATCCCTAGGCTGAACAGTAAAAATACTAATCTCAGAGAGCTAAGAGTTTGTGCAATAATTTCTGGATAGCAGACTTTTGTATTTAATCATAAGTCGGACACTTCCCAAGTGTCTAGGACTGTGTGATGTATTGGTGAATAATGCGTGCAGATCTGAGTAGGGTGTCCTTTTGCAGTTGGCAGATGGTAATTTTGTCAGCACCAATTGTGTTTTCAAGTGCTGGCCAAGGCCTTTTGTCATGGCACCTAGCGTGCCGATCACCACTGGGACCACCATTACTGGTTTGTGCCAGAGTCTTTTCAGTTCTATCTTTAAATTCTCATATAGTGTAATATAGTGTAATGTTGTTGCTATTGTTGTTGTTGTTCTCCTCCTCCTCCTCCTCCTCCTACTACTACTAGAGCTTCTCCAAGATATTCAAAATGTTTGGAGAGTAGAGTTGTGAACTTTGGTTACTGCCTTTAAAGCCTGGGTCAAAACCCAGAGCAGAGTAATCACATTTACATCAGTGGTTCCCGACCCTTGGTCCTCCTACAATTCCTAACAGCTGGTAAACTAGCTGGGATTTCTGGAAGTTGAAGTCCAAAACAACTGGGGGACCAAAGCTTGGGAACCACTGATTTACATGGAAGCCACCGGGGGGAAAAAGCCTGTGCTGCAGCACCCACCATCCACAATCAAGATTTGATATGGAGCTGGGATTGAGGGGGTTGGGGAAGGGTAGAGTCTATGTTTTTCCCCACCCAGTGTTACTGCTATTGATAGCAAGGTGGGTGTGCCTGTGGGTTCCTATTTACTTATTTCTTGCTTTCAGAGGCGAGTCATGGAATCACTGAATGGTCTGAAAGCCCTCTCTGTGGGACGAGTGATTGTGGTGAACAATCAAGAGCACAGGAATGCCCTGGGGGTGATCTTGCAGGTAAGGATGGGATTGGGGGGGATACCACTTTCTGTTGTACTCAGGAATCTGAGATTCATGGTATGGACCTGTCTGCACATGTTGCTCATTTATAGTTTTTTGGTTGTTTTTATATATTTTTATTCAAAGAAACTCATCTACAACTACAAACAAAGACAGATTGGAGAGACGAATTATGCAAAACAAAAATGCAATATTCCCTGCCCCCCAAAACCCCAAACTTTTTTTCCTGTATATAAAACACCAACCTACAACAACTAATAACACTATATCCCATGTCATTTCCTAATTGTTTCTATCATAAAGACATGCAAAAAGTTTATTAAACTGCAAAAACTTGGTTTTTGTGGGACATCCTGCAGCACATTTTGCTATAGTTTTTTGCTGTGAGTTTTCTGGGCTGCATGGCCATGTTCCAGGGGGGAGCGGTTGGGCTTATTTTTTGGACATGCAGCCTTCTGATACCTTTCCAAAGCCAATTGCTGGACTCCCAACTTTAGGTGTCTTCTGATGCTGCCAACCGGACCTTCAGCACCCTGGTGATATGTGAGAAAAAGTCCCCCGAGGAAGATAAGGGAACGGACACGCAGACCGGTCTCTCCTCCCCTTCAGAAGTGCCCCTTCCCAATGACCTGCTGCGCACCAAGCTCTTCCTTCCAGAGGGTAAAACAATGGCATGTCTCACAAGATGGAGCTGGAATATGTCTAAGGCAGGCATGGGCAAACTTGGGCCCTCCAGGTGTTTTGGACTTCAACTCCCACAATTCCTGACAGCCTACAGGCTGTCAGGAATTGTGGGAGTTGAAGTCCAAAACACCTGGAGGGCCCAAGTTTGCCCATGCCTTGTCCAAGGGAATGTTTCCTTGCTCACTTACTTAGACAAAATCCACAAGAGTTTAAGCTGCAAATGTGGAGGGATGACTATACATTGTTGTGTCCCTGTGGCAACGTAAAGATATTTTGAGATCGCTTAGCCTTGAAGTAGGTGTTTATTTGTTTATTGAAACACTTCTGTCTAAGCCAGGCATTCTCAAACTGCATCCCTCCAGCTGTTTGGGCCTTCAACTCCCAGAATTCCTGAACAGAATTGAACAAGCTCGTTAGGGCTTCTGGGAGTTGGAGGCCCAAGCAGCTAGATGGCTGCAGTTTGAGGATGCCTGGTCTAACCCTTTCTTGCAAGGCTTTGGGTGGGATATGATAGATTTAAAACAATGGACAAGATTTAAAAAATTGGCTAAAGCTACTTTCCAAGCCACAGTTAAAATCACCTTTGAAATTCCTAAGAATTTGAAACCATATTAGTCCAGTACTGTGTGCAGAGATTCATCTTGTTGGCGGGAAGCTTCCCACCGGAGTGGAAATCATCTGCCAGACAGACGGCAAGCTATTTAATGCAGGGTGAGCACAGATGAGAACCCTCTGTCAGCCCTAGCTCCCCATGTGGGAACATGAGATAAGCCTCCCACAAGGATGGTAAAACATCAAAACATCTGGGCATCCCCTGGAAAACATCCTTTCAGATGGCCAATTCTGTCACACCAGAAGCCACTTGCAGTTTCTCAAGTCACTCTTGACACAAAAATTATTATTATTATTATTATTAGCAGTCCCCTGCCACGCGTTACTGTGGCCCACATGGGGATTCTGTGTAGCAGGTTTGGCCCAATTCTTTCATTGGTGGGGTTCAGAATGCTCTTGATTGTAGGTGAACTATAAATCCCAGCAACTACAACTCCCAAATGTCAAGATTCTATTTTCCCCAAACTCCACCAGTGTTCACATTTGGGCATATTGAATATTCATGTAGAGTTTGGTCCAGATCCATCATTGTTTGAGTCCACAGTGATCTCTGGATGTAGGTGAACTACAACTCCAAAACCAAAGGACACTGCCCACCAAACCCTTCCAGTATTTTCTGCTGGTCATGGGAGAACTGTGTGCCAAGTTTGGTTCAATTCCATCGTTGGTGGAGTTCAGAATGCTCTTTGATTGTAGGTGAACTATAAATCCCAGCAACTACAACTCCCAAATGACAAAATCAATTTTTTGAGTGAAGGACATACATTGGGTTGTTAGGTGTCTTGTGTCCAAATTTGGTGACAATTCGTCCAGTGGTTTTTGAGTTCTGTTAATCCCACAAACGAACATTACATTTTTATTTATATAGATTATTATTATTATTATTATTATTATATTATTATTATTATTATTATTTTCTGGATTTCATATTTTGCCATGATATCACTGGAGTAGAGTTGTGGTTTCAAAACAAGAAGGGAAGAAAGAAAAGTCAAGAGTTCTACGTTGCATATTGTGGAAAGCTGTGGGCTAAACAATCTCATGCAAATATAACTTTTGAACATTAAATGCTATGAAAATTTGGATTTACCAAAGGAAGAAAGCAAGAAGAATTGAACGTGGAAACATGGTCAGCAACTGTATCTTAGTGGACTTTCCCTAATACCTCTAGCAAGAATGTACTTCAAGAGAGCTAGAAATTATTTTTAAAAATTGTTTATAATTTGCATAGCTGGGATAAGTATGATTCTGGTGGAGAACCCACATGAGAGGTGGGCAGTGTCCATTCTGAGTTGTGGTTGATGGTAGTCATTTGTTAGAATATTTTTACTGCTCAATTCTCTCCAGGCCCCTGTGGACATACCATCAAGAAGCTGGGCCCATCTGACATTTTTGGCATCACCACCAAAACCCTGCGCATCAACGCTGAGCGTATCCTGGAAGATTTCAAGAAGCGACAGATCCCCAGATTCAGGTGAGCTGCAAGGAAAGGCTGAAAATGATTAACGGACATATGCATGTGCAAGTCCGCTGGGTGGAGGGCCAAAAAGGGCTGTGCATTAAGTATGTTGCGTGGAGCAATTGCACACAGGGTTGCTAGTCTTCATGACTGAGTAGTACATCCATGGCTTATATCAATATGTGGGCATTTATGCTATGCTACAAGCATGTTGGATCTGGGCCACAGTGTGCCCCACAGAAACATCTGTGAAGTCCACACAGCCAATGTTGAAGGTTAATATATTGACTTCAGGGCCAAAGTCAGTGTTTATCGGAGGATCTTGAACCTAAGCTGTTGGGTTCAAGTCTAAAAAGTGTTCTGGAGCCCCCTCTTTATTTGTTCTCCTCATGTTCAGGAATGATCCACCTGGACCATCTGCAGCCACAGCGACCCAAGAACTGCTGCGCTTGGCTGAGGGTGACCCGGAAGGCCTCCCTTTCTTGGACCCCATCAATGACCTTCAGCTAAAGGACCTGGAAGTGGTGGAGGGCGTGATCAAGGCCCGGCACTTGGAGGAGATTTTGCTGGGGTTCCAGTGTGTGCACAGCCCCCGCTTCCACGTGGAGGTCAGTTACGGGTCTTGGGTGGCAGGAGCTGAACAAAAATGGATTCAAAGATTGGGGAGCTTTTCTTGAAGAGCTAGAGGAAGTTATTATTTTCTTTTTAGATTGTGGCTGCTAAAATCCCCAGCTGGCATGAGCCAAAACACCTTTTAGGACAATAATAATAATAATAATAATAATAATAATAATAATAATAATAATAATCCTTTATTTATACCCCACTAACATCTCCCAAAGGACTCGGTGCGGCTTACAAGAGGCCAAGGCCCAACACATCAATAAAACAACAGCATCACAAATACAACAAAATAACTCATAAAACAAGCAATAAACATTAAAACAATAGCAATAAACATTAGACAATAACACCACAACGCATTTAAAACTAAGGCCGGGCCAAATGTAATGATTAAAATTTTTAAAAATGCTGGACATGACAGGTGAAATAGATAGGTTTTTGGAGATAGGTGTGGTGTGCAGACAATCTTAAATCACTAGTAAAGTACATTTGGGACATAATGCTTGGAGTTTCCTATTCTGGGAGTTTCCTATTCTGGGAACGTGGAACAGCCACGTCTTCAAGCTCTTCCTAAAGACTGCCAATGTTGGGGCTTGTCTGATGTCCTTGGGGAGAGAGTTCCAGAGTCGGGGAGCCACCACGGAGAAGGCCCTGTCCCTCGTCCCCACCAATCGCGCTTGTGACGACAAGTGCCAGGCACCTGAGACTGCACCCCATATGATCCCTTGCCATGGGCTTTGCTGACTGTGGATGATAGGTGTTGTAGAACAAACAAAACTGGATGACCACACATTGCCCACTTATATTTATAGGCCCGTAATGTCCCTGGGGGCCTATAAATATAAATGGGCAATGTGTGGTCATCCAGTTTCGTTTGTTCCACAACAAAAAATTAACTTTCCCTAGCTCTTCAAGAAAAACTCCCCAAATACATTTATAGTTCTGTAATGTCCCTGGAGCCCCCGATGGCTCAGTGGATTAAACCATTGAGCTGCTGAACTTGCTGACCGAAAGCTCGGCGGTTCAAACCCAGGAAGCGGGGTGAGCTCCTGCTGTTAGCCCCAGCTTCTGCCAACCTAGCAGTTCGAAAACGTGCAAATGTGAGTAGATCAATAGGTACTGCTCTTTTGGGAAGACAACGGCACTCCATGCAGTCATGCAAGCCACATGACCTTCTTGGCAGGGGGTTGGACTGGATGGGCCATGAGGACTTTTCCAACTGTATGATACTATGAGGCATCTACAGACAACGACGGCTCTTCGGCTTAGAAATGGATATGAGCACCACCTCACAGAGTCAGACACGACTAGACTTAATGTCAAGGGGAAACCTTTAACATTTACCTTTATCATCCCTATTTATTTTCTATTTCTTTATTTTATTTACATCCTGTCGATCACTCTAGCTCTTCTCGGAGGGTGGTGGCGTCTTCGTTTCTGGAGACTTTTCAGCAGAAGCTGGATGACCATCTGTCGGTGGTGCTTTGATTGTGCTTTTCCTGCACAATCTGAATCAAAACATCCCATTTTGTCCAACTTTATTTCACTCACCTCAAGCATCACAGTGTTTATATGTTCCATTTTTTCTTATGTATAGCTTCCTCTGCTTCTCTTACTCTAAAAGTATGAGAGTATCTTGGTTCATAGTTGCTAAGTAGTCCACAAATGGCATCATCATTCACTTCTTTTTTTTCTTTCCATCTCTTCTAGTTTGTGCGGTTCAGAGAACGGCAACGGGTGCTGGAGGAACTGGAGAAGCTGCGGTTCCTGCTTTCTGACCAGTCCCTCCTGCTGCTGCCAGAGTATCACCAGCGTGTTGAGGTAAGAGTGTCAAGGCATCTTGTGACCAAGATTTCATTCTGTGTGTATAGAGAGACAGCCTGGTGTAGTGAAAGGGCATCAAACTTGTTTTCATCAAGGGCCACATGAGCCTTATGGTTGCCTTCAAAGCTCTATGGAATCCATTGATGGAGAATCCATGGATATAGACGGCCAACTATAACCTTTTTACATAGTGGTCAGTGCTCTTTAGTATTTACCCAATTTAGGTTCCCAGATGTTACTGAATTACAGCTCCCATCACTTTGGATTATCTGACATGCAGACTAAGGGTGATAGGAATGGCAAGTCAGCAGCATTTGTGGTTTGAAGGTTGGGGAAAGGTTAATGGACATTCAAAGACAGATGTCCAATTCTGGGCACCACTATTCAAGAGAGATATTGACAAGCTGGAATATGTCCAGAGGAGGGCGACTAAAATGATCAAGGGTCTGGAGAACAAGCCCTATGAGGAGCGGCTTAAGGAGCTGGGCATGTTTAGCCTGAAGAAGAGAAGGCTGAGAGGAGATATGATAGCCATGTATAAATATGTGAGAGGAAGTCACAGGGAGGAGGGAGCAAGCTTGTTTTCTGCTTCCCTGGAGACTAGGACGCAAGAAAACAATGGCTTCAAACTACAAGAGAGGAGATTCCATCTGAACATGAGGAAGAACTTCCTGACTGTGAGAGCCGTTCAGCAGTGGAACTCTCTGCCCCAGAGTGTAGTGGAGGCTCCTTCTTTGGAAGCTTTTAAACAGAGGCTGGATGGCCATCTGTCAGGGGTGATTTGAATGCAATATTCCTGCTTCTTGGCAGGGGGTTGGACTGGATGGCCCATGAGGTCTCTTCCAACTCTATGATTCTATGATTCTATGATTCTCAAGCCGCGTATCTCAGTCCAAACCACACTCTCCTGACTAAACGGACCAAACTACAGCCTTCCAAGTGTCACTGTATCTGAACTCCCATCAGCTCCAATCATAATGTACAATGATGAGGAATACAGGAGTTGGAGTCCAGGATCTGGAGGGCCACACAAAATGGCACAGAGGGCCTTGAGTTTAATATACATGGTGTAGTGGTTTGAGCAACATCAAAGGTCAGGATGCATTCAAATCCCCGCTCAGCCATGGAAACCCACTGCACTACCTTCCTCTCTTTGCGTCAAAGGAAGGAAGGCAAAACCCCTCTCAACAAACCCATAAAAAACCCCAAAATCAAAATGTCGTCATGTTGCCAAATGTCAGAAATGACTTGAAAGTATATGACAATAATCAGCCTGTTTAGCAAGCCTTACAAATGCTGGTTTATTATCAATAACTGCTTGATTTCTACACCTGTTTTATGTACCTACTAGCTTAAGTACTTGGTGATGCCCAGGTTAAGTAATTTGTAATGCTACTTATTAGAAAAAGTCGATCTTTGCTTTTGTTTTTCATGAATATTCCCATTAGAAAATGCATAAGGTCCCAACATCGTGGGCCAATTCCCCGCAAACTCTCAGTATTCAAAGTTGGCCATGTTGGGTATGTTTGCAAAGTGTGGTCCAGATCCATTGCTGGTTGGGCTCACAGTGCTCTTTCATTGTGGGTGAACTACAATTCCCAAAATCCTGGATCAGTATTCCTCAAACCCTGCCAGTATTCAAAATTGGGCATGTTGGATATGTTTGAGAAATGTGGTCTAGATCCATCACTGGTTGGGTTCACAGTGCTCTTTGATTGTTGGTGAACTACAACTTCCAAATTCGCAGATGAATTCCCCCCAAACCCCACCAGTGTTGGAAGTTGCTCATTTTGAGTACGTTTTCCAGGATTGGTCCAGATTCATCATTGGCTGGGTTCACAGTGCTCTCTGGATGTGGGTGAGTGGGAAAGGTTTAAGGAGTCTTGGTCTTGGCTATATCACACTTTCCTGGATAGGAGCCCCCAGTGGCATAGTGGGTTAAACCCCCGTGCCGGCAGGACTGAAGACTGACAGGTTGCAGGTTCGAATCCGGGGAGAGCGCCATGAGAGAAGCCTCCTACAAGGATGATAAAACATCAAAACATCCGGGCGTCTCCTGGGCATCGTCCTTGCAGACGGCCAATTCTCTCACACCAGAAGCGACTTGCAGTTTCTCAAGTCGCTCCTAACACGACAAAAAAAACAACTTTCCTGGATAAAGGGAAGGCAAGAGCTGCAACTTTGCATATCCATACAAAGTCATGTAGTGGAATTAACACTGTGGGAGAGACCTCTAGTTCCTTCACAAGATCAGGCCAGGAGATGGGTGTTGCCTGGCACAGTCTGGGGTGCTGTATCCTTTCTCCTCACAAAAATCCCTCTGTTCCTTCTGTTTTTTTGAACCCCTAGGTACTCCGTTCTCTAGGCTACATCAATGAAAACGGGGCCGTGGAGCTCAAGGGAAGTGTGGCCCGCCAGATCAGCAACCATGAGCTTCTCCTGACACAGCTGCTCCTGGACAACGCCCTGACGGATCTGCGGCCGGAGGAGATTGTGGCCTTGCTCAGCTGCACCGTCTGCCAAGTGCGCACCCAGGAGGAGCCCCAGCTGCCCTCTGTCCTCCAGAAGGTGAGGAAGTGGGAGCGGAGACCGTAGGAGAAACCTTTCACTGTGTGCATTGTGAAATTCCAGAACGCCTTTGCCTCAAGGTGCAGTGATGGCTGCCAAGTTGGGACAGCTCTCAGATACTGAGCTCTTCAGTGGAGGAATATACTGCCAGGGGATGTGATGGAGTCTCCTTCTCTGGAAGTTTTTAAACTGAGGCTGGATGGCCATCTGTTGGGAGTGCTTGGGATGTGTGTCCCTACATGAAAGCCCTTAGGTTCTCTTCTTATTTTATGATTCTACTAGCTGTGCCCGCCACGCGTTGCTGTGGCCAACCTTCCTCTTTCTCTTTCTTTCTTTCTTTCTTTCTTTCTTTCTTTCTTTCTTTCTCTCCTTCCTTCCTTCCTTCCTTCCTTCCTTCCTTCCTTCCTTCCCTCCCTCCCTCCCTCCCTCCCTCCCTCCCTCCCTCCTTCCCTCCCTTCCTTCCCCTTTTCTTTCTCTTCCCCTTTCTTCCTTCTCTACCTATTGTTGGACTGCAACTCCCAGCAGTCTTCCTGATTAATTTATCTACCTACCTACCTATCTCTGTCTAATCTATCTATCTGGAGGATTGCTGGGAGTTGCAGTCCAGGAACAGGAAAGTGGAAATATGCAGGGATTGGGATGCTCTCAAAGAAATCCAAGAAGAAGCTTTCATCTTGGAAGCCGTGCATTTGGATCATCCTCCTCTCCTAAAGGATCTGGTGTAGAGGATGCTGGGAGCTGTAGTCCAGAAGGGGGAGTGGATATGCTAACAACCACCATGTCAGACTACACAGAGAAGCCATTGAAATCCACAAGCATGTGGACAATTTCCACAGAAAGGAGAATACCATGAAAATGAACAAAATTTGGCTACCAGTATTAAAAAACTCTAAAATTACAACAGCAAAACAACAGAGAGGAAACAATCTGGGACATCAAATCACCTCTCAGCAAAAGATTACCCCAGGCACTGCCAGGCCATCAAATGCTAATCAAGGTGGTCAGTTGAAACATTCACACCTAGCTCCAGCACACAAGAGTCCTTTGTCCCACCCTGGTCATTCCACAGACATATAAACCCCTTTTTCCTAGTTCCAACAGACCTCACTACCTCTGAGGAAGCTTGCCATAGATGCAGGCGAAACGTCAGGAGAGAATGCCTCTAGAACATAGCCCTATAGCCCGAAAAAACCTACAACAACCCAGTCATTCCAGCCATGAAAGCCTTCGACAATACATTGTGTGTTTTGTTTGCCAGGGGATTCTTTTTTCACATGCGCTATAGCATCTTTTTGTTTGTTTGTTTTTTTGGCTTTTAAGCCCCTTCCACTGTGTTTTTCAGTATTTTTATGAGTGATGGTCACTCATTGGCATGAAATGTGTATTGTGTCCAAATTTGGTGTCAAATCATCCAGTGGTTTTTGAGTTATGTTAATCCCACAAACGAACATTACATTTTTATTTATATAGATGAGGTTGAATACATTAATTGCAGATGGAGCTATTAATAGCTACTAATCGCAACAGATACATATTCAGTATGCCTTTGAAACTTGCTTGCTGGGGTGAATAAGCACAAGTGTGGCATTACTCTCAGGTCCTGCTCAAGGGCAAGTGGCTGTGAAATCACAATGCTAGACAAGATGGGCTCTTATCAGAGGCAGCATTAGCTCTTAAATTCACAAGGCAACCCCAAACACTGGAGGAGAAATTGGCCTTTGACTGTTGACTTAATTTCTCCCCAATTTGTGCCTTCCAGATGTGTTGGGCTCCCAGCAGCCAATACAGCTTGTGATCAGGAACTCTGGGAGTTGGGGCCTAGCTATTCATGACTTTGTGGGTCATGGTTCCCTGTTCCCTTTTACCTTTCAGGGCATAGAGCACATCCGATCCGTGGCGGAGGAGATTGCCCTCTTGCAGCGGAAGTGTGGCCTACAGGAGTCGGTGGAGGACTTTGTGGAGCAGTACAAATTTGGGCTGGTAGAGGTGGTTTACGAATGGGCCCGTGGCATGGTAAGTGTTTGAACTCTATGGCTGGAAGATTGTGTCCAGTTCTGGGCACCACAAACCAAGAGAGATAGGGACAAACTGGAGCATGCCCAAAGAAGGGAGACTAAAAATTATCAAAGGTCTGGAGACCATGAATCCCTATGAAGAGTGGCTTAAAGTGCTGGGTATGCTTAGCTACAGAAGAGAAGGTTGAGATGAGATATGATAGCCATGTTTAAATATTTGAAAGCTTGTCATAGGGAAGAGGGAGCAGGCTTGATTTCTCGATGTATACACATGGTCAACTTATACATGAATGCATACTCTGAGTGGAAGGGAGCCAGCCTACCAACCAGGCACTCTCCAACAGCTGCTGAGAGGCCATCCCGCCATCTTTAACTGCCATTCCCCGGGCATTGAGTGGAAGGGAGCCAGCTTACCAACCCGGCACTCTCCCAACGATCATTGAAAGCATCTCCCTCCATCTTTAACTGCCATTCCACCAGTCGCCGAGTGGGAGGGAGCCAGCCTACCAACCAGGCACTCTCCAGCAGCCACTGAGAGACCATTCCGCCATCTTTAACTGCCATTCCACTGGTCGTTGAGTGGGAAGGAACCAGTCTAACAACCAAGGTCTCTCCAACAGCTGCGGAAAGACCCTCCCGCCATCTTTAACGGCTATTCCACCGGTCTCTGAGTGTTCTAAACCTCAGCTCTCAGAATTCCTGTCCACTGAACATGCTAGGGCTTCTGGAGGTCGGAGGCTCAAACATCTGGGCAGCCACAAGTTTGACACCCCAGAACTAACTTATCCTTTTGTTTCCTCCCAAGCCATTTGCCGAAATTGCCCGCCTGACTGACGTGCAGGAAGGGATCATTGTCCGCTGCATCCAACGCCTGGATGAGACCTGCCGCGAGATGCGCAACGCTGCCCGGGTCACCGGGGAGCCCACGCTGCATGCCAAAATGGAAGCGGCTTCCAACATGATCAAGAGGGACATAGTGTTTGCTGCCAGTCTTTACACTCAGTGAGCCTGTATGGCCCATCTCACCTCCTTGGGAGACTGTGTGTTCTGGTCCCTTTTAATTCCTGACCTCTGAGAGGCTGAGATAAAAGAATAAAAACTTTCAACCAGAGTGGAAATGTGAGCTTTTTCTAGATCTACATATTCTTTCCCAGCAAGGTTTGGCTTGACATGCCTTCCTCTTGACACGTTTTTTCCTTTTGCATTCAATTTCTGCCTCTTCCATTTCCACAGTCCTGTTGGTAACATGTGACCTCTAATTCCAGGGCCTCAGGGCCAGAGCTTCCCAGTTCTTGGTGTCAATAGTGGGACCTTTTTGCAGCAAACAAACCCATCCAGGTCAGGTGTGTGTTCAAAATAGAGAATTGCTGCTCATAGAGATATTTATGACAGTAGTGGGAAATGTGTGACCCAAGCCTCTAGATCGCATGTGCCAAATTCAAGGACCGTGGGTTGAATCTGGCCCAACATGTCATGTTATGTCCCTTCAGATGTTATGTCCCTTCTCATCATTAGACATCATGCTAGAGCTGATGGGAGTTTGTATATAGAAACACTGAAAGGCTCCCGTTGTTCAATCAGGAGAATGGGATTCGGATTTAGATACAAGGCTTGTGGATCTGGCTTTGAAATATCCATTGACCTTTCCCCAACCTCTGAGCCACAGGTGCTGTTGGGTTGCAATTCCCATTATCCCAAGTCCGCATGGTGGATAATCAATGGGAGTTGTCATTCAACAACCATTTCAAGGCAACCAAAAGGCTGGTGTGGCCCTCAATAAAACTGAGTTTGACACCTCTGCCCTAGATCTATTGTTCTGATCCCTGAAACTTCTTTCCTGGTCCCCTCCTTGAATATATTTGGGTTCAATTTGTTATTTTTTGTATGATTCTTGCCCTGAAAGTCATCCCACAAATGTGCAATACAACTGAGAACTTTTATTCAACTCTAGGTACTTCTCTTTAAGCTAAATTCTAGATACTGTTTGACTGTGCCTGGTGGGAGTTGCAATCCATCAATACTAGGAGGTCCCACTTGGCCCAGTTGTGGTCTTGTTCAGAAAAAGGAAGCTAAGATCATTTGAAGTCATATATTTTGTCCTCTGCAGAGAGGTTGTCAAATGGAGAAGTGGATGGAACACCAGGGCCAGAAAACATGGCATTCCAGGAAGGGAGAACAGGTGCATTCCAATTCCCCCTTCATAGAACCAGAGTCAGAAGAGACCACAAGACCCATCCAGTCCAACCCATCAGCAAACAGAATCAAAGCTCCCCAAGCAGATGGCTATCCAGTCTCTGCTTAAAAACTTTCTGAGAATTCAAATTTGCCAATTCTGACCTATATCCACTGAAAGAAGATTCCACCTGAACATTAGGAAGAACTTCCTGTCTGGAAGAGCTGTTCAACAATGGAAATCTCTACCTCAGAATGTGGAGGAAGCTCCTTCTTTGGAGGCTTTTAAACAGAAGCTGAATGGCCATCTGTCAGGTGTACTTCGATCGTCCTTTTCCTGCCTAGCAAGTGGTTGGACTAGGTGGCCCATGTGGTCCCTTACAACTCTGATTCTATGAAAGTTCAACAGGTGTAGACCTCCCCCCCCCCCCAAGATAGTTTGCTGCTTGAAATATGATTTCTCGCCTCCTGCAACTAAAAGAACGAACAGGACTTCAGCTGGATGGGAGATTCTGGGGATTTGAAAAAGGAAACATTCCAAGCTCTCTGCCTCTGATTGCAGATGCTTTCCTTCTGGACCCATTGTTTTCCTTATAGTTGGGTCCATTTTCCTCATAGTTGGGTCCATTTTCTTCCACAGTGAGGCATTAATGAGAAGCAAAGGAAAGACAGACCTTCCTCCCATAAGCACTGTTAAGAAACAATGTATTTACAGTGTAATTTATTACTTTGTTCTGTCTTACTAGTGGCCAAGGGGCCAATAGATTTCCATCCCTATCGACTTTCAGCCCCTCCTCTCCTGGTGTACCAACATCTAGGTAGAGAAACAGCTTGTCCCCTACATCCCCCTCCCACCCTCATAACCCAGGTCAAGCTGATCAGTCCGGGATCCGTGGCGTTGGGGGCTTCTCCGTGCTCAGGGCCTCCACGTACCAGTCGGGCAGGAAGGTGTAGCTGGAGTCGCGATGCACCGTGAAGGAAACTGGTTGCCCAGGCTCCCAGGCAAAGAGGTGGACCAATCTGCAAAGGGAGATAAAAAAATAGGGAAGCCGATCAAGCGTGAGATACTCTCCCCGCAAAGCAATGAAAAATAGTAGGACAAATGGGCTGCTTTGGAAACAAACCCCAAAAGTTCTTACATTTTACATTCTCTGGATTAGGAGTTCAAGTCCTCACTCTGCCATAGAAACTCATTGGGTGGCCTTGGGCAAGTCACACAATCTCAGTCTCAGAGGAAAGCAAACACTTTGTGAACAACTACTACTTCTTTAATCCTTGAATATTTAAAGAAAGAAACTTAACTTACAGCCTTGAATGTTTGCTGTTGTATGTATGCTGTTAACCGCCCTGAGTTCCCATTGGGGAGACAGGGTGGGATACAAATAAAGATCATTACCATCATCATCATCATCATCATCATCATCATCACTATGGAAAACAATCTGCCAGATGGGCCTTCAGCCTGATTAATTTGGGCTATTATATTCTTTTAATCTTCAGACAGTTTCAAATGTTTTATGGGAAGAAAGTCAATTCTGTGTATGTTCAGGTCGCCTGTCAACTTAGGTTTGTGTGTGGGTGTGTGTGTGTGTGTGTCAGGAGCGACTTGAGAAACTGCAAGTCATTTCTGGTGTGAGAGAATTGGCTGTCTGCAAGGATGTTGCCCAGGAGATACATGGATGTTTTGATGTTTTCCCATCCTTGTGGGAGGCTTCTCTCATGTCCCCGCATGGGAAGCTGGAGCTGACAGAGGGAGTTCATCTGCGCTCTCCCCAGATTCGAACTTGCGATCTGTCGGTGTTCAATCCTGCTGGCACAGGGGTTTAACCCATTGCGCCACCGGGGGCTCCTATGGTGACTCAATGAGTTTTCTAGGGTTTTCTTGGGCAAGGAATACACAGAAGTAATTTGGCTGGTCCCTTCCTCTGAAATATAGCCCACAGCACTTGATATTGGCTAGTTGTCTCTCATCAAACAACTAAACAAAGCTAGTCTTGCCTGGCGTTCAAGATCAGATGGGATCTGCCGCCTTTAAAGTGTTTAGGTCCTAGGGATTTGCAAGTCGGCTAGCCAATTCGATCAAAAAGATAAATTCCATAGCCACAAGTCTGGTGTGAGATATAGTTATTATTATAAAGAGTTGAATTCCATGCTGATTTTGCTCTTGGAAATTGCTGAATGTAATTATTTATGCAGCCACTGATTAGTGGAAAAGCTCTTTTGCCATATGAAGAGTAATACAATTCGAATTCCCTATTTATTTATTTATTTATTTATTTGTAGTATTTATATTCCGCCCTTCTCACCCCGCAGGGGACTCAGGAAAGATTACAATGCACATATATATGGCAAACATTCAATGCTGTTTAGATATACAATATATATAGACAGACACAGAGGCAATTTAACATTCCAGGTTTCTTCCGGCTCCATAAGGGTATGCATGATTTCAGCCACAGGGGGAGCTATTGCTTCACCGTCCAGTTGTGACACAGAATCTTTTGATGGAGTACTTCCTCATTCTTCCACACGCTGCTGGAAGGTTTTATGGCATCACAAATTAGTTAAATTAGCCTCCCTGCTGAAAGTGGTACCTAAATTTCCTTATTACACAGCTGCAACTGATTGCAAAGGTCAACAGCAAGCTAGACTATTAAGGGCAGGAGCTCACTCCAACCTGGGCTGGCTTCAAACTCATGACCTCTAGGACAGTAGTGATTTAATGTAGCTGGCTACTAATGTTCATATCGCTTTTGCCTTTTTTGTTTATTTGTTTATTCAAGACCCTTAGAATTTCTCTACTCAATTAGGAAATGACATTTATAACCCAGGAACAAAAATTGTGTTGCATAGCATATGTTGCCAAGGCAAGATCTTTGGTATCAACCCAGAAAATGCTGGGAAACATTCTCAATGCTGGATAAAGGAAAGAAGTTACCGCTACTCACTTTGAATTGTCTTCTGTCACCACTTTCTTCACAAAAGCCAGAAATGCTGCACAAAAATTCATACACACAGCTGGCTTCCAGCAACTTGGGTCTTCCTGTGAGGGAGGAGAAAGGAATGTGTGTGTTACATGGGAATAATACACATTTTCTGTATTCTTCCAAACAGCTCCACGTTGGCTAATTTCATCCCCTTCAGTGTAGAAAGAGATAATGCTTGGATCAAGCTCTTTTGTAATCAAGGTTTCTTTTATCAGTTATTTACCATATATACTCGAGTATAAGCTGACCCAAATATAAGCCGAGGGACCTAATTTTACCACAAAAAACTGGGAAAACATATGACTCAAATATAAGCTGAGAGTGGGAAATGCAGAAGCTACTGGTAAAAATAAAAATAAAAATAGATACCAATAAAAGTACATTAATTGAGGCACCAGTAGGTTAAAGGTTTATGAATATTAACATAAAACTGTAATTTAAGATAAGACTCTGATTACACCATAATTCTAACCTTCTTCAATGTAAATGTGCTTACGTATTTTTCCAATAATAATAAAAAGAGTAAAATAATACATGTAATAAAAATAATAATAACAGAGTAAAATAATGGAAATCTATATAAATAAAAATGTAATGTTCGTTTGTGGGATTAGCATAACACTGGACGAATTGACACGAAATTTGGACACTAAACTCCTAACAGACCAACGAGTGACCATCACTCATAAATCCACCCACCCCCACAAAATGCAGAAAGGACTTAAAACCCAAAAAAGCTAAGTGACGAAAATTTAAATGACGAAACAGAAAAAAAGGAAGTAAAGAAGGAGGGAAGGAAGGAGAGCAAGAAAGAAAGAAAGGAAGGAAGGAAGGGAGAAAGAGGGAGGGAAAGAAAGAAGGAAAGAGAAGGAAGGAAGGAAGGAAGGAAGGAAGGAAGGAAGGAAGGAAGGAAGGAAGGAAGGAAGGWAGGGAGAAAGAGGGAGGGAAAGAA